AAATTATGACAGGAGAATTTAAACAGATCAATTCACCAACTATTATATTGATTTTGACTCAGCAACACTACGTATTCGTCACGTGATTATATTCGAAAAAAAAGATAATGACAACTAATTTTACTTGAATAGTGCAAAGTAGAAGTACATTGAATGTCACTTTTTGGTGCTAATAATGATGATGACCTAACTTTAGGACTTATATAACCTCAGTAATCATTGCTGTCAGTCTGAAAGGACTAAAATTACGTAATAGCAAAAGGAAGGAATAGTTCTCACATTCCATAGTAATTTAATCCATCTCGTGACCAGTGAGGCACAGCAGTGTGAGTGTGACGACAAATACTCACCGATGACATTGGCTAGTGGTCACGCTATATTGTGAATTGGCAGAAGTTGGAATTCATGCACTGGTCATGGGAGCGCGTCCCAGGGGCTTAATCGTCTACAAGCTCGCCTCGTAACCAGAAAGTCCTGGGTTCAAACCCCGATGTCAGCGTACTGATGAAGAATCCCAAGCTAGGACGAAACTGCTATCAAGTACTTTCAGACCTTCCAATGGTTCTCTAACCGATGTCAGCTCATGATGAAACTCTGTAATTAATTCAGCATCCTGAACATCAAACAACTAATTCACTTGTGCTTTTTTCTCATTAATGCGCATTCACAAGGCAATATTTAGACACTTCAGAAACAAATCCACAATGCATTACAATAGTCAGACTGACAGACATGAGAAATGACACGTTTGCGTGGCTATCTAACCTTCAAGAACGAGAAGACTCTAGAAGATCAGGTTTTCGGAGATGGCTGCCTCATGTCGCAGAAACTCAATGATATACAAAAGAAAAACCAACAAGTTGGCGGAATAGGGGGAGGAAGAAAGAAATTCAAAGGAACATAGAGAAGACAGAGGTGATGAACATACTCGACTAACAAATCTAAGCACCATCGATGTGAGAAATCTAAAGGAGGTCGTCTCCTTAACCTACCTGACCGCCTCAACTTCACGTGGCAGCGATGAGGATGTCGAAGCGAGCAAAGACCAGCAAATAAGGATAGCTCCTTATTGCTTTAAAATCACTGTGAAGATCTGCAGCGCTCAGAACAAGATCCGAATTCTCAAGATTAATGTCAAGTCACTACTTCTATTTGGTTTAGAGACTTGGAGCTTTTCTCACGGAGAAGAGTTGCAACAGACTGCAGATTTTGATCAACAGCTGCTGGCCAGAAAAGAAAAGCAGGCAACAAGAAACTCTGGCAGCAGATCAGCCAACAACCTATTGCCCGACCAGCGAATATGCAAAGGGAAATGGAGATGGTTATACGCTGAGGAAACTTCCACAGCACACCACACGCTCGAATGAAACCCGAATGGAAAGTGATGAGTTTTGTACGCATCCAAGTATGACGGAGACAATGTGAAGGGAAATCGAAGCTTATGGGCAGACGTCGAGTCTGCTCAAAAGTGATGATAGGTATCTGAGTACGATAAATATGTGCTGTTAAGGCTTTATTTTCTACTCAGAATGCATAGAACGAATAGTACAAAAATAAATCCCAGTTAAGTATTAAATCTTTTCAGTAGTATAACTAACCAGTGAGTGGATGTTAAAAGCGAAGTTCTCAGCAAAGATAAGCAGATTAGAAAGTACGCAAACAGTAACTGGTTGTTTAATATGCAGTATGTCTATTCACTAAGTAGTTTGACGTGTCATTTTATCATCTTTAGTATTGGTCAGTAGGAAAACTCAAATTGGTTAACGAAATACATACCATCAAAATATGACCACACAGACCGTGAGCAGCTATCGGTTCTCAACTCGAACAACCAATTGGATTTTAATGAAGTTGGTAATGAGCCACACCTATTGTGTGGAGGCTAGTGATAGTATCTGGATTTCTAAATCTCATTAGGTGGAGCGGAGTGAAAAATGAGTCATAACTGCATAAGCATGAATTCCTCTTCAGTTATTAGTTTGTTATCTACTTAAGCTTTTATCACTGCTACTCAAGTTTGTCTCGATTATTTTGCTTTATTTAACGACTCCATTATGGGTAAATTTTGTTTTGATAAAGTCTCACAGTGTTATACAATAATGTTCACTGATGACGTTTCGAGCACAATTTATTGCTCATAATCATATCAAGGTACTCACACGATTTCCTAACTTCATTTATATAGTTCCATTATTTTTCACTTGATTTGATTGGCAGTAGTATTTTCCATATTTCAGGTATGAGTGATGACTCATTCCTATTGCATGTGTTTGGTGTAGACTCGATGAACAAGGATTCAGTAACCAACCTCTCTCTCCACCTATTTAGATTACTTTTTAGAATTTTAACCCTCTCCCACCCTATTGTGTGCTAATGCATGCATTGCAATTGCTGAGCTTTTTTCTAAATTACTTATCTTTTCAGGGTCAACCATTCTTACCTTAGCTGAATTCTTATGTTTCGACAATCTGTCTACCCCTGACCTACTAGTTTGACCTATGTAGCTGACCTCACAGACATTGCATGGTATTTTATAAATTATATTATTTTGTCTAATTGGGTCAACTGGGTCCTTTAACCTACACAGCTTGTCCCTGAGTGAGTTTGTAGGTTTAAATGTCAGCCTAATCCCTGCTTTATTTAGAATCCTACGTAGGGTTTCAGATGTCCCCTGTTTATATGGTATAGCTGTAGATGACTTATATTCTCTCTTATTTATGTTATTATTGATAGTTTCACAATTATTTTTATTTTCCGTTTGGCCTTTTCTGATCTTCCTAAAGAATTTTAAAGGATGGTTATTTAACACCATAGCCTCTTCTATCTGTTTTAGTTCATCATTTAGGTCTTTTCTTGTGCTACTGCTCGGTTTGTTAAACACTTAACTAAGCCTGCCTTAACAGTGGTTAGGACTCTCGCCGACCATGCACATGGTCCGGGGTTCGAGCCCACGCCGGCGCACACCTGATATATATGGTTGGCCTGCAGAATTTGGGCTACCGATATCCATGCTGAAAATTCCATTCAACGGATGAGATGAATTAAAGTCTAAGTATCTATTAGAATGAGTTGGTTTTCTGTACACACTAGTGTGTAGTTTACCTTCTTCTATTTGTTTTTATTATTTACAAAATACCGTGCAATGACTGTGAGGTCAACTACATAGGTCAAACTAGTAGGTCAGGGGTAGACAGATTGTCGAAACATAAGAATTCAGCTAAGGTAAGAATGGTTGACCCTGAAAAGATAAGTAATTTAGAAAAAAGCTCAGCAATTGCAATGCATGCATTAGCACACACAATAGGGTGGGAGAGGGTTAAAATTCTAAAAAGTAATCTAAATAGGTGGAGAGAGAGGTTGGTTACTGAATCCTTGTTCATCGAGTCGACACCAAACACATGCAATAGGAATGAGTCATCACTCATACCTGAAATATGGAAAATACTACCGCCAATCAAATCAAGTGAAAAATAATGGAACTATATAAATGAAGTTAGGAAATCGTGTGAGTACCTTGATATGATTATGAGCAATAAATTGTGCTCGAAACGTCATCAGTGAACATTATTGTATAACACTGTGAGACTTTATCAAAACAAAATTTACCCATAATGGAATTATACTCTACTACAGTTCACAAGTTTTATTCTTATATCAATGATATTTAACGATTCAAGTGAACATTTATAAAGGTTTTTACTTTAGGTGTTCATTTGTTTGTTTGGTTGAATCTAAGATGAGGATTGTCTTTTGTGTTGATGAAAAACCCTATCTCAGAAATTGATGACCTAATATTATTAATATTGAATAATTCAAAAATCAATGACTACCTGTCCCTAGAATGAACTCAAGGCGTGGTTCCAAAGCATAACTTTTAACCTTAATCAATGAGTACTTAAGGTAACTACTACCACTGACTAGCTAAAGAAAATTGAGCCAGCATGTCATCATGCTGGCTTCTAGATTGATTTTAATGAGGACACACTACCCCCCCCCACCATCACATACTAGAAGTAATAATATTATAAAATAACCTACAACGAAATTATATATATATATATATATATATATATATATATATATATGAAATGTTCGCCAACCAAGCACTTGGTTTGGGGTTCAATTCCTAGCGAGAGCATTGCTAAACCTCACCTAGCAAGCACATTAAAAAGAGTGAGGCTCGCAACCTCACTTCTCGAAGAAACGAACAGTACCGACCCGAATGGAACTTCAAGGCATCAAACCTAAAGCTTTATGTTGCATTCGGAAAGCAAAAGAATGAGAAAATTACTTACTTATATTCTGATCGTTTCTATTTGACATATTAAGAATGTAGGAAGGTGAAAGAAAGAAGTTATCGAGCTTTACACGGATTACATGTATTAAAGTTAATGATACCAGTTGACTGCTCAAAGCATAGTATTTATTGGAGGCGGGGGGGGATGCACCTCAATGAGAACCAAATGATTAAATATCGTAAATGTGTTGTCACAATCAAGAATAAATTTTCTTCTTATAAAATCAGTTTTTTCTCCATTTACTTCAGTTTCAATAAAGTCTAATAGGTTACAAACAAAAAGGCAGACAACACAAAACTAGATACAGAATAGGAAAAGGGAAGAGAAGGAATCCAGTCAATACAATATAGGAAGTAAAACAAAATAAACAAAGATATCTAGGCATATAAGTGATACATACTGTTTTTTGTACAAGATTACGTAAGTATCTTACATATGGAAGAATTCATTGCTATCATTATTCACACAAGCAAATTATCTAGCATAGAAAAAGGCAATAAATAGAATTAGGTAGTATAATATCTACTTATTTAGGGTAAGAGATAGGAATGTTTGAAAACAAATGTTATACACACAACACACTCAAAGTTATTCCATACACCAGATTTATAATCTGTTAAAAACACTTTTAAAACCGTGTTTTTCATCAAAAAACAGCGTTATTCTCCAAAACTTCGATTACTGTCCGGTCTTGTTGAAACGTCATGTGAACCATTTTGACTAATATTATCACTATTACTTGTGTCGATTTGTGTAAGCATGGGTTTGACAAGATTAAACCAAGGATCTTCTAAGCAGTCAACGGCTGAAGGGCGATCTCTGAAAATAGGGGGAAAATATTAGCCAATTATGAAGAACATGCTTCCTACATAAAATGAAAAAAAAACTGAGAAATACTTGCCAAGCCATAGTTTAGCTTCTGGTTATATAAAGTTAGCCGAATAATCAGTTCAAAGTGTCGGTTTGCAGAGATTTGATTGATCTTAAGTTTGCCCATGAACTGAATTCAGTTCAGAACTACTGAAAACCACGGAGTACTGAACAGCTGCTTTGTTCTAGCTCGTGACGCTTCAGGAGTACACACCAATGACATCACCAGGGATAGGACCACGGCCTTCAGTTTATGAGACGAGTTGGTTGACCATTTAGACAAAGAAGTTTTAATCCAAAAGCCTATGAGTTCTAATTTCTGTCAATTCGCGAAATAGCGCAGCCACCAACCAATAAATGTAGTTCTAAGTATCAAAATCTAAGTGTGAAATGCAGTGACTGCTGATATCGCAACGCATAGACTAAAAACGTAAAACAAATGCTTGTCGACTAATTGAAGGATCCAGATACCTTATCCAATTATATGGCTTACATGTACGATTTTATATGAATTATTTTAAAGACAATCCCAAACAGATGTGGAAACCAATGATAGAATTCTTGAAATGTAGGAATTACTGAGTTGGTGACTGAATAGTTATGGTTTCAGTACGTTACGAGACATGCAACTGGTTAAGATTTCGGTCGACACATCATAACTATCCCACAAAATCATATCTGTGATTTCATATTTGTGGTTTAGCTGATTCTACACATCACAATTTCTAACCATTATGGAGACTTTTGCGGAGTTCCGTATTGTCACTATTCGTTATCCAATATTACTTTATTGGATGTAAATTATCCACGTGAATAGCTACAAAATCTGCATAATTAGCACGATTTTCAACTAAATTTTCTACGCTACCTGTAGACTTGACAATGTCAAGGTAGTTAGGCATTTTCATTTCGTTTGATAAAGCAAGCATAGCTCAAAGTTTTTCGACGTTCAACTGTCAAATAATAACACATGATGCCACTTAAGGATACATTTTCAATTTCCAAAACACTAAATTAAACAACTTAGTATTATCGATACATATAAGTAGTGCATAAATTATATTCTGTTACTGTTGAGCTGGATGAAGTCATCTATAAGGTGCTAACAATATTTATATGAGAAATGTGTCATTCATAAGACCAATCAGATATTGCTCAAATTTGTCCTCGAAAAACGTATTACGTATTGTAAGGCTTAATCTAGAAGGGGTAACTAATCGGAAATTCGAAAAGGGGCAGAATTTGGCATGACGTAATAAGTGTGAGAAAGTGACTAATCAATATGATTGTGTGGAGAGGACAAGAACTAGTGGAAAGATGATAAAATGTTTTTCTATGTGAAATCTGCATGAAAACGCGGAGCCATGTGGCTTCAGTTCTCGGTGGACACACACCTAGATGTTGCCTTGTTTACTAGCTGATACTAAGCCCGGGAGAGAGGCAAGGGTGGTCATAGAGCTAGTAATCATACACCATAGCACCAACACCACGGCTACTGAAAACGTCCTCAAACGTTTGAGGACCTATACACCAATCAGAAGGTAAAACAAAAAATGAAACGCATTTACAAGAAATAGTTCTAGTTCTATAAACATAAATATGTTAAAGACGTAACAGTACACCCGAATCGGTGATTTTTTCCAAACACTATTTAGGCTCATAAATTCAGTAATCATAATAAAGTCGAAGTATATATAACACAACACATTTGTACAAAACTCCACTATACGGAAAATGTAATTTTATTAATGCACCAACTTCAACAAGAAATACAGGCGCAAATTATGTAATGTGAAACTGTATTCGTTTTTTTTCAGTCGTAAAAGCCAGGTATGAAATGTATCAGATCAAATTTGTAACGGAAAGCTTGAGAAATAAGAGTTTATACTATAATAAGTGATACGTTTATATGGATTGCAGTTTTTTTTACTTATTTGGTTTATGTAAATTCTTTATATCAAAAGTGACTTTTGACTATGTGGAATCAGGTAATTTATGTCATTGGCTTCGATTTGTTCATAAATCAAAGTTAGCCACACTTTCACCCTACTGAATGCACAAGAAAGTATTGTATACACAGTTATGTGAATGTAAATCACTGGAACATGAAAGAATGGATCCTAAAGGCGCCATGATTGAAGCAAGTAGAAAAACTACATTTTAATAAAGCAAAATATAATTATTTCTGGTGTTGTTGTGTTCTCTGAACTGGATGAATTAATTGCAAAGCTTTCATTGTTCACCTAGACAACATCTTCAGTGCCACAGTAAACGATCTAGTACGGCTGAAGGTGGGCAGACGTCGCTCTTCCTGTCGAAATGCTTCTATATGGTCAGGCGTTCATAGCCTCTGTCACAGACAGGTCATATTCATTCCCATCACGCAGCGGTGGGGGTCCTCACAAAAGTGCAACGGTGAGCGCAAACGCTTGGCGTTTACGACGGAATGGGTGGACACGCAGTTCTACCTAAGGAAGCTGGAAAACGCTAATTCGAAACCAAACGGTTTATATGGACTCAGGAATCCCAAAACACAGAACAGTGTATGGACCTGCTTTAGTTACCGGAAACCATGGAAACATAGCTCCACTGCCTTTTGGATCAGATTTTAATTCAAAGGTTCGAGGTATTGCCCCTCGAGGCAGCTACTTGCTTCAGTCTGGCAGTCCGGGCATTATACCGGCCCTCACACAAACTGTGAGGAAACATTTCGTATGACGCATCAGTTGGTGTCCATTATGTAACAAGTTTGTGTCTTAATAATACAACATTCTCAGTGGTAACTTCAGGGTAAATTGAGTTTTAAAATTTCCCACTGGATACACTATTTTTTTCTCCTGTGTTCTTCAGTGTAACTGTTGGTTCCTGTCAATTTCCTAATGATTGGTCCCCTCATTGACTTGATATTTGATCTTTTGCTCGTGCGACTTATTTTTTATCAACGAATGAATGAATATGATCAATATTCGCATGTGTATTAATTTCAAGTCGATTTAAGTGCCAGGCTCCTAGGAATCCTCTGACTTGTGAGCCCTTTGGCCTAAGATTTTTACATACCCCAGTTGAGTTGATGTCCGAGGTTATCCACCTTAACTGATATGAGTGAATACACATCATCTCATTTGACTGCTAGTTTAAGGTCATGAGTTTATTCGAAGATGAAGAGGACGTTCGATTTCGCCGAGTTTTTCTGCAATCCATGCAACCTATTTTATAAACGATGATAGTTTTATTGTCTTTTAGTTTACATAATAAGTAGCAAAAACATCATGTTGGTTTGTGAGCGACAACTATTCTAAGAGGTTCCGATATTCTAGAGGTGATTTCGGAAACATTCTGAAAGTATGGTATAATCATTTTTCTTGTTGTCCCACAGGACAATTTTGGTTACCTGAAATGCTGATATGGTTTCCTATACATCGTGCGTCAGTGGCACAGTGGTTAGGACTCTCGCCGACCATGCACATGGTCCGGGGTTCGAGCCCACACCGACGCACATCTGATATCTATGGTCGGCCTGCAAAATTTGGGCTACCGATATCCATGCTGAAAATTCCATACTTGTACCAAAAATACAGTGTGGAATCAAGCTGTAAATCAAAAATAAAAATAAAAAAATAAATAAAATTCCATTTTACTGGTAAATGCTCATAAAGTGTCTCTCATCTATTCTTCTGAAGACAAGAGTGTTGCAGAGCTTTTTCTGACCATACAACAGGAAACTCATTTACATTTACTGCTTTCAAACCCACTAACCTTGGATCCTTTCGAATTAAGCGTTTTATGAAAGAAATTGCTTGAGGAGTAATATCTTGAAATAAATGTTCATCATAGCTTATTTTCAATTGGCAGACATTAAGAAAAGTTTGTTCTTTACTCTCATTCCAAAATGGACTTTCACTAGTCAATAAATAATAAACAACAACACCGACACTCCTGGAGAAAAAATAATAAGGCGAACGTAGATAATAGACAGAGATTAAGGAATTTCAAATGTGAGGTTAGAAAAAGTGTAGTTTTGTTACATATAGATTTATAAACGTCAGCTGGCCAGGTGATTTATATTTGTGGTGAGTACGCAACAACTATCCCATGATCAAGAATCTCGTATATTTTCTTAACTTATTGAAAATAAATGCAACCGATTACTTCTGGTGTGGTTTTGTTCTGTGAAATGGATGAATACTTGATTGAGAAGCTTTTATTGTCCTTCTAAGAAACATTTTCAGAGCCACCTGTAAAATGAAGTTGAAAACTTAACAACTAAACTATCTAGCTGAAAGGACATAACACGAAAATCGTCTACTCAAGTTACAGAACTTCTCAATTATACCAAGTACAACAAGGGGAATTACGCAGAGGGGTATGAAATAAAGCGTTTACAGGAGAACCACTGAAACTAAAGCAACATAGTTTAGCAATTCACTGCAACGTTTAAACATACACTTAAAAAATGAACTTATAAGCTGGTTAATTAACAAGAATATATGACAACAGGAATAGCAATATATTGGTAAGGAATTATAGCGTCAGGTGGGTGGAAGCAATCGATACAAAGTCTTAAATGCCTTTTTCGTGCCTGCTGGCACTCGTCCAACCTCAGATAAACTAATGTCTCCAGTCAAAATTCGAACCCAAACTGGGCAGTGTTGCAGTCAAAGACTTTATTCGTGGGCTATTTGGGCTGCTGATTGACTTCCTGTAGGACAAGTAATGGATACACTGATTAGTTACTACGGTGTATAACCAATGTCGCCTATCTAGTCCCTAGCCTTGGTGTTGACTGGATTCTACCAATCAAGTTTACAATGTGGTCACGAAGTAACTGGTCATCGAAGGGCATTTTACAATGATAAAACACGGTCAGAGACGATCAGCAAGAAGTCGTAAACTTACGTTTCTTTCTTAATAGCATACATCAGCAAGGCATATCAACAACCTTAACCAATGATTGCAATTACTGATTGTCTAGTGATGTTTCCTTAACTCTTAATTGTTTATACATTCGTGGATAGGTAATATATATATATATATATACTCATTATTTTGGTTTTCACTTTGTAGTAGCATGATTGCATCATTGTTAGTAGTACTGTTAAGTGAAAACAGAAGAGATGATTTTTCAGTCTTCTCGACTGTCTTTCTTCGTTCTGTTTTGGAAATAGTCTTATGAATAAGTAACGCTCACCTTTTTTTATATTTTACCACTCCGGTTAACCGGTAGTTCAGTTTGACTATGCAGTATAAATAGAATCCACATAGAAAGGCTTTTAAAACCAGAACAAGTATCCCATGATTTATAGATTGATGGAAAGAAACTAACAGTCTATACAGCTCATGTTGATTTAAATCCCACTATTTTATCCACAGCTACTTTATACTCAGAAGTCTAAAGGATAACTTAGCTTCGTGAAGTGGAACATCCCAAATTCCTGCCTACCATCTTATATGAAAAGCATTGCAAACCATTTCTTTATCGACTGACCTCTTTTCCCTGAGAACATGATGTAAACAGTGTACCACCTATTCTACTCACTTTTAAATACGCATTAAAACGGGTGAGTTACTGACTCTTTGTCATCATCTCCGTAGATAGCCAATACGCTAGTTTGACAATGATCAAAATACGTCATAGAATATTATTTTTATTTACTAGATCACAAAAGTGGAAGAGTATTATGTATTGGATGATAAGTGATGTGATTAAAAACAATAAATTGTGTCCGAAACATTATCCAGTAAATAACTTTCACTGTGTGTGAAATACCTAATAAACAAATTAATATAAAATTAGCCCGACAGAAAGCTGCTACCTTGACGTGGTGGTCGGGCTTGAACACCGCAATGACCTAATCAAGCTATACTGGCTGAGACTTATGTCTCTTGAGGTTCTACCATGCCAGGCAGGTTGTTTGGATAGCGGTTAAACAAAAAGCAGCTACCCAATCCAACATCATGTCCAATACAAAATTACAAAATTTCATGCCGGATCGGCCGTGGCCCGGATTAACAACGACCGCGCTTCCTGCTGCCGTGTCACAGGGCGGGAGTGATAAATCTGCTACTGAGACACACCAAACAAAAAAACGAACAAAAACAGGCCGCGTGTGACCGGCCTCAAGCAGTTGTCCCCTGGGCTCTGCGGTCACGCAACCAACTTCCACGGTGTGGGCAGCCGGGAAGTAACAATCGCCCTCACAATCCGAAATGCACACGAAACCTCTCTATTACTCACTCATCTTTGTCTTCATCTTCATCTCTATCATCTTGCCTTCCTTCCACTGATGCAACTCCTCGACTTGATAGCTCTCCACTTCCTCTCCACTCTGCGTCCACTAAAAACGATGGAAGCCAAAAAACCACCACCGACAGCCTCTTAAAGCCGCGCCACCAATTTCATATAGGAGCTCTTAATGTTAGGACACTTTGCCAAATAGGACAACAAGCATCACTAGCCAAGACCCTGGCATCACGAGCCATTGATGTATGCTGTGTTTCAGAAACACGCATACAAGACCCAAGTGTGGTTATTCACCTAACCCCACCTGGCCAACAGGTTGAATCTGCAAAATTCACCTTGAGGGTGTCAGGAGATGCCACAGCTAGTTCACGAGGATTAGCTGGCGTAGGGATAGCTTTGAGTACTAGGGCAGAAAAGACATTGCTTGACTGGATCCCGGTAGATAGCCGAATGTGTGCTGTCCGCCTGAACGGATCAGTAAGAAGGAGGAAGGACTGCACTACTCGCCGATGCCTTTTCGTAATCTCCGCCTACGCCCCCACTGACTGCAGTTCAGATGAAACGAAGGATGAGTTCTACCAAAAGCTGTCTAGTTTGGTGGAAAGGCTAAACGCTCAGACATAGTCGTTCTAGCTGGTGACTTTAACGCTCAAGTAGGGAAATTGTGTCAATCTGAGAAGGATGTCGGTGGCACCTATGGAGTTCCGTGCCAGCGAACCGACAACGGTGACCGTCTCCTACAGTTCTGCTCTGATAATCATTTGTTTCTTGTAAGCACTAACTTTAAACACAAGGAGAGACACTGTTTGACTTGGAGACCCCCTTCATCAAACCAACGCTGGACACAAATAGACCACATAGCAATAAGCTATCGTTGGCGTGGGTCGGTAGGAGATTGTCGCTCCTTCTGGAACACGTGCGTAGATACCGACCATGCACTGGTCCGCGCTCGGGTGTGCTTACGACTGAACGGACGTAGGAAACAGCTGGCGGTAAAACCATCACGTCCCCAGCTCGATCAGGAAACTAAATCCGTATTTGAGGAAGAACTAGCTAAACACATATCTGTGTTCGACAGCTGTGCTCACCCTGAAGAAGCTTGGAAAAATATCCAGGCAGCCATAGATACAGCTGTAAAAGCTGTGAATAAGGTAAACCCAAAGGTGAGTAAAAACCACTGGATCTCCACCGCCTCATCCGAACTGATAGATGCTAGAAGACTTATTCCGGCGAGCTCCGAATTCAATGAGGAGCGAAAGCTGCACAAGAGGAAACTTACGAAAAGTCTCCGCAAGGACCGTGAACAGTGGTGGGCGACAAAAGCCAAAGAGATGGAGAAAGCTTCGAGGATAGGCAACACCAGGCAACTCTTTGGACTCATCAGGGAAACGGGTGGGAGAAGACAAATCATTAGTGAGACAATCTCGGAAAAAAATGGCACTATAATTAGCTCACAGGATAGACGACTGGATCGTTGGAAAGAGCATTATGAGGAGCAGTTTAATTTGCCCACAGCCACGCTCAACCTTCCGAGCATCCAACACCTCCCTGAATGGGATATAGACACAGGTCCTCCGTCACTAACTGAGGTTACTAAAGCTGTCACCAATCTGAAACTAGGCAAAGCAGCGGGACCTGATGGAATGACTCCAGAGGTATTTAAGTACGGTGGAGACAGCTTACTGTCCGGATTAACTGAGGTACTAGGCAGCGTCTGGGAATCAGAAGAAGTCCCATCGGGTTGGTGTAAGTCACTGATTATCCCCATATACAAGAAGGGAGACAAGTCTTCCTGTGATAATCACAGAGGGATTAGCTTGACTAATATAGTATCTAAAGTCTTAGGCTCAATAATCATGCGTAGACTGAGTGGTGCTCGGGAAGCACAAACACGAGAGAGCCAGGCAGGCTTTAGACCAGGAAGAGGGTGTATTGATCATATCTTCACCCTCCGACAGATTCTAGAACATAGGCATTCCTACCGGCGTCCAACAGTCATTATATTTCTTGACCTAAAGGCAGCATTCGACTCTGTCGATCGGGAAGTTCTCTGGAGATGCTTGGCTGTAAAGGGAATTCCAAGAAAATATATTGCACTGATTAAGGCACTCTACTCGTACTCATACAGCCAGGTGAGGGCTTACGGCGAGCTGTCATCTGAACTGATGACGACCAGTGGTGTCCGTCAAGGATGCCCATTATCTCCTTTTCTATTCAACTTCATCATAGATGTGTTAATGGACTTAACCCTAGGTGACTTCAGCGACTCAGGGATTGACTTGCTACCGGGAATAATCTCGTTGACTTGGAATATGCAGACGATATAGTCCTTCTAGGCGAAGACGCTGACGAAATGCAGAGTCTTCTAAACACCTTGAGCAGCAATCTACGAATGTTTGGCATGCGATTCGCTCCCGCCAAATGCAAGATGATGTTACAGGACTGGACTACATCGACGCCTAGTTTAAAAATAGGAAGTGAAGTGGTAGAGCACGTTGACCGCTTCACTTATTTGGGAAGTACCATCAGCCCCAACGGGCTGATCTCTGACGAAATCTCAGCACGAATACAAGGGGCTCGTTTCGCATTTGTTAGTTTACGCCGACTCTGGCGTAGACGAGATGTTCGACTATCGACCAAAGGGCGGGTGTACTGCTCATCAGTCCGCTCCGTCCTCCTTTATGGTTGTGAGACCTGGCCACTGAGAGTGGAAGACATGAAAAGACTAGCTGTCTTTGATCATAGGTGCCTGCGTTCTATTTCCCGTGTAAAGTGGCATAATAAGGTGAGCAACATGGAGGTTAGGCGTAGAGTTCTAGGTAAACAGGGGAAATCAATCGACGAAGTCGTGAAGCTACAAAGACTGAGATGGTTAGGACATGTGTTACGTATGCCAAGCCATCGCCTCCCTCGACGAGCAATGTTAGCGGATATAGGGTCAGGCTGGAAAAAAGCTAGCGGCGGTCAAACAAAAACTTGGCATCAGTCAATGAAATCCACAACAGTTGGTCTAAGCCACGTAGGAAGGTGTAGACTTCCAGGCTGGGGTCCTCGGGACGGTAAAAATCTATGGTTGGAAACAATTGGTGACATGGCTCAAAATCGTTCTCAGTGGCGCAGATGCATCCACTCCCTGTGACTTATGATCTTCAATGAAACTGTTTTGTATTTCTTTATTACTCCTTTGTCTCACACCTCTGCTCACTGTTTCTATTATGCTTTTCTTGTACTTTCTTCTCTTGCTTCGCGTGCTACACGGAATGTGGCGACTTGAACTTCCGCACATTTGTGCAAAGTTCTATGTCGAAAACAGACAGACATCTATACACAGTGTTCAAGGTTTAGGTATATCAAAATCCATCATTTGATACACATGCATTTGAGTGCATAAAACAAGTGCACGAGGAAGTCGACAGTGAATACAACTGTCAGGCAAATTATATAGTCAAAAATTTATATCAATAAATAAAGTAAAGACAGATTGAGCAGAATCATATATCATCGTTGGGTCTGCATGACAAACTAAAATAATATTGATATCACCAGTATACAAAATATTCAAATAGTTTATTTATCCAGCACGAAGATGAAAAACATCAATATATTTCGTAATTAAATAGTAGAAGGGAATGAATAAAAAGTGTTATTAGGCTCGCTACTAATAAGTAGGAATAATTACAAGAGCATCCTAGAGTTAGGAAGGGAAGTTGGAAACTGATTGGACATGTAAAATGTGACAACACATGTTACTTAAGTGCCAATAATTCAAGTAGCTTAAAAATACTCCATTAAGTCATACAAGAGAAAAGATGTTCAGAGAAGAGTTACCCTTCTCAAGGTGTACAACTGCATATATACAAAATATATTTTCACAGCAACAAAAGGAATGTCTCTAAAGTTGTGCCGTTATGTTGGCCGTAATAAGCATTTGTTGTCCAAACATTCCCTCTCATAGCGTTACAGAGGAGAAAAAAGATATCTCCGTACATATATTCTGGACACCAAGTGTAGTCAGATATTAGCTTCAGTCATCAACATATTACTTGGAAATCTCACTTAAAGATTGCGAATCGAACTTCTTCAATCTGCAGAAGTTATGGTAATCGACATGTTAAATCCTGAACTTTGCATACAGAGGTTTGTTCAGTCACTGGACTTACAAAGCACCTAATCTGTCCTAACATTAAACGTGTAAATTTTTTAGAATTTCTTTATTTTCTTATTTTTTCCTTTCCGAGTATTGAATTTCCATACCTTATGACAATGGTCTTAAAGCTTTTCCGCTTTAGTTTGGCTCTGCCTAATCCTGTCAATTGTGTTAGTTCACTGAATTTATTTGTTTATGAGACAAAAGGATTGAGTGAAGAAATATTTGCTTTTCAATTAGATCCTTATATATAGCTCTACTCTAAACTACATAGCATTTTTAACACAAAATATTCTACCAGTCTAGTAGTGATAGGTTTGTTAACAATAACTAACTGGTCAATATCAGCGTGTCAAGGAGGTAATAAATGACCAAGTAAATCAATGAAACAATTAAAGGGGAAAAATAATTGCAGACCTAAACAAGTCGGTTGTGCAACGCACAATTTTGGAAAAATAGGCAGATATATCGAGATGAGGAGCTTCAGATAGGACGAAATGGGCATCCTGGATTCTACTGCTAGTCACCATCCACCAAATTACTTTAAAATAGGCAGTAATTAAGAAATAAATTCGTGTTCAAATTGACTACACAATAAGCAGTTGAAGATAAAGTAGTCAGAATGATGAAATAATAAAGACAAGAGAAGGGGGGTAAACTGTCACTTGCGCCGATGTTTTCGGTTAATTATCACCTCCTTGACTTGTTGACATTCATTAATTGTTGTTAACTAACTCATTGACTGACAGAAAGTCTTGTACTGTATCATATATATATATATATATATATCACAGTAGAGTCATAGATGAGGATCTAATTAAAAGTCTAAATGGGATTTTCTTTCTTCTGTATTATTTAAATTTGCCCAAGTTTTTACCTCCTTGATGTCCTCTGTATTGCCTAATTTGGAGTCCTTTGAATACTATCTAAAACCTACACTTTTAATTACACATCTTTAAAATATTCTTTCTGATGTTATGCGACTGTACAGTTTCAGTATGGTGTAGCTGAACGCCTCTTCTCTTAAGTAATTTTGTTGAGCAGAGTTCAAAAGTAGTCAGGTCAACAGTATGAACAGAGACGAAATTAAGGGTATAAACTTTCTTTGTCAAAGGAAAGTATCCACGAAATAACATAAAATACATTCACTATGGTAGGAAGAGATTAACAACAATTTATTTTTGAATGCGTCAGTTCAGTTTTAACTGTTTAACGATCACAACTTCAGTTATACGCAGTAAGGTTGAACTAACCTTAAGCTTAATTATTTCAAATGATTTTAAGACACCGATTTAATTGACTACTACTATTTGTCAAGTGGTGGGAAATGGCACTGCTGAGGACTTCAGCGTCTTCCTTTCTTAGAATCTACTGAGATATGCCGTCACACATACTTTTTTCTATAGTTTGGCAGACATGTGGAAAATTGGCGGATGCAGTTGACGGTAATATTCGAAGTAAAACCATGCTTATATACTGTGTTGTCACATTTTACATGTCCAATCAGTTTCCAACTTCCCTTCCTAACTCTAGAATGCTCTTGTAATTATTCCTACTTATTAGTAGCGAGCCTAATAACACTTTATTCATTCCCTTCTACTATTTAATTACGAAATATATTGGTGGTTTTCGTCTTCGTGCTGGATAAATAAACTATTTGAATATTTTGTATACTGGTGATATCAAAATTATTTTAGTTTGTCATGCAGACCCAACGGAATAAAACGTTGATATTATATCACTCTACTCAATTTGTTGCTTTCGCTTTGTGGAAGTAAACCAATGGGAAAATTTGTCTAAATTTTTCTATATCTGTTAATCACTTAACGCTTCAAATCATGGGCAAATCTATTTCTCATTTCCTTGCCTACGCAGTGGAACATAGAATACCAAACGTTTTACGTGGTAGAGTTCCTAGCCATGTGACTACCTTTCCCCGTTTTTCTGGGCTCACTACCGACTAGTTAACTGGAAGAGATACAGGAGTGTGTCTGCTGAGAACCATACCCGAACCTCTCACGTGGCTGGTGAGAATTCCATCATCGAATCACCAATGCGTAACTCTATCGACAAACTAATTGGCGGTAAGAAAGTCAGTAAAATAAAAATCAACAAAAACGCCACGCACACAAATGATACTTACCACATGTCTGTTGTAAAGTGAATGGGATCATAGTTCAAAATTTCCGGAGCTATTGACACAGGTGCATTCAAAATAAAAACAATCATTAGTACTACGTACAACTTTTACAGAATGACAAGATATGATCTACAATTATATTATTCTTTCTATCCTTAAGTTAGCTGATACATACGTATATTCTCGACAATCAAATTTTACATTAAAATAATTATAAAAGAAAAGGAAGCAAAGAAATTTCTATGAAATACCCAACTTAACATTTAGGCTAACTTCGAACTTTTATGTCAAATTTGACTTCTGACACAGCAGTATATAACCCTTAAAAATTATTCAAGTGAGAGAATTTTAGCAGCTCAAGTTTTATGAGTAAAGTAAGGCAACTCGAGTACTGTAAATCGAACAGAGAATACGTGCACATATTTGCAACATTTAGCAACTACAAATAAGCTGAGATACATGGCAATAAGCTGCATATTAGGATATATTAGGATTCAAAACTGTGAATAAACTGGTTGGAAGTTAAGTGTTGTCTGTTGGCTAGTTATTCTCCCTTGGCCTTATCGTCATCATCTAACTATGGAAGATCTTTGAGATACTTACTTGTCTAGGTAGTGAAAAATCCTCAGTGAACTATTTCAATAAAATCAAAATCTTATCATCTCATTACGTCTTCTTCTTATAATAATGAATTCAGGAATTATAAACTAACTACTACACTTTTACATAACAGACAGACATAACATTTAAAAAATAAAAATGTGAAGTTGTTCGTATTTTTATGCACAAGACATAAAGTTGAAGTATCTTCTTAAACTTGAGTCGTACAGAAGACTCAAAAGGAGAAAACCTTGTGCTTTAGAATTCAGAGAGCTGTGATAAGCAATTTGAAACCTTAAGCAAATTGGCCGTATCATTAACCTCTTTAAGTAGAACCAGTACACACTCACTAGAAATAATTGCTTATTTAAAGCTCTCAAGCCCTTTTAATAACAGAAGCTATGTTGATGAGAAATTCGCTGGCCACTAAAAATGGGCAGAAATTACAGATTTTTTCTACAGGTATTTTTGGTGTAATTCACCAGTTATTGAATATGAACGAAAAGAGAAAATCATTCTAATAACAAGTCCATTTTCATACACCCGCATACCTTTACAGTTAAGTGAAGCCATGAGTGTAAGCAAAATACACAAAACTTAACTCAGTGACCAACAATTATTTGATGGAACAGACAGTATACAATATGAACGACTTATCAGAGAAGGCAAATGCTGTTCAGAACAGATCCCCTCTGAAATAAAAGGCGGTACCGTTATTCTTGGTGTAGTAACATATTCCACAATATCACATATTAAACTTGATTTCTTACAGATAAATACACCACATCACTAAGAGAAAAACTTGATAAGTATGAGAAAACTTACCAGCGTAGTCTGGTGTACCTACAAGGTCTCGGATGATCTCGTTTTTCTTTAGATACTTGGCTAGACCAAAATCACATAATGCAATTTCACATTGAGGAAAAGGATGTCGGAGGAGAATATTCTCGGGCTGAGGAAAAGATCACAATGTAGATAACCATAAGCGTCTCCTATCTCAATATTTTAATCAAACGATACACGATATTTACTTTGATAAATGCATGTATGATCAGATTGTTTGTGCCAAATTGAGAAAGCATATTGAAAATGAATTAACTGCTTTTATTATTTTGTCGTGAAAATCCTACAATCTCAACCCTTTGAATGTAATTTTATTGTTGAAGTATACAAAAAGGTATTTAGAATACATAAGTGCCATTTATCAAATTATATATCCTTGTATAAATAAGATAATTACAGTCAGCGTAGTTGTTTAGTACCCTTCGAGTTATACAAGTTCTTTTCAAATTATATTAAAAACTGCTACAAAACTAATCAACTACAAACGAATCAAATAACTTAACTCTCATATGGACTGTCTGTCTCTTTTAGTACGTTTACTCTCACTATAAGAATTACATGACAGACAGGACTTATTGTTTTGAAGGATGAGTTCTAGGTTTGAATCTCAACACGGTACCTAAATGTTGTAGTCAGAATCGCTAAGGCGGAATCACTTGAGTCCCCATGATAATATCGAGAACTGCAGTATTCAGTGGCGATGGTCTTAACGCCTGGAAAGGTGAAATTCTCTTCAATCGTGAAGACATAGACTGCTCGTAATTGTTATTGCAATGAGTGTGGGTTGATCAAGACTTATCGACTAATTCAGGGCTATAAAAATAAAATCCATAAAAGTCACAACACCAGATCACTTAATTTAACAGTTATTTTAAAAACTTCATTATACGGTGCCTACAACTAAACAGAATAGTTTCCTGTGGACGACTAGAAGACTGCTTTACTCTCAAAGAGCTTACGAAATATTTACACGTGCTCATCAAAATTGCAAAAACTGAGTAAACTATTAAACAAATAACCGAACATAATGCACTACACGGATGATTTCAATATAAATCTAAATATAAAAACCTGTGGTCTACTGTCCCCTAACATAGCTAATTATTAGCAATACTCCAGAATTTCATATTAAAAGAAACTTTTGTCTGAAAGCAAGATGAAACCGTTTAAAACTCCAGGTCAGACAACAGGGGAAATCAATCGACGAAGTCGTGAAGCTACAAAGACTGAGATGGTTAGGACATGTGTTACGTATGCCAAGCCATCGCCTCCCTCGACGAGCAATGTTAGCGGATATAGGGCCAGGCTGGAAAAAAGCTAGCGGTGGTCAAACAAAAACTTGGCACCAGTCAATGAAATCCACAACAGTTGGTCTTAGCCACGTAGGAAGGTGTAGACTTCCAGGTTGGGGTCCTCGGGATGGTAAAAATCAGTGGTTGGAAACAATTGGTGACATGGCTCAAAATCGTTCTCAGTGGCGCAGATGCATCCACTCCTTGTGACTTATGATCTCCAGTGAAACTGTTTTGTTTTTCTTTATTACTCCTTTGTCTCACACCTCTGCTCACTGTTTCTATTATGCTTTTCTTGTACTTTCTTCTCTTGCTTGCTTCGCGTGCTACACGGAGTGTGGCGACTTGAACTTCCGCACATTTGTGCAAAGTTCTATGTCGAAAACGGACAGAGAACAGACAGGTCAGACAACAGTATCTAGTGACACAAAAACAGGATTGAGTGTAAAGAAATTCCGACCGATAGCTGGTACCTTGACGTGGAGGTCGGGCTTGCATATCGCATTGACCCAACGAGCTACACTGGCTGGAACTATTGTCCCTGCATGCTAGGATAGTTGTTACGATAGCGATTAGACTAGAAGCAGTTACCGGAATAGTGTAGGAGTTTTTTTACACTATGCTGGGGGTCTGTGGGCGAAGTCGTGCTGCTGGGGAACAGGGATGTAACAGCAGTAAGGTGTTTCCTTCAGATGACCAGCATGCCAGCTATGCTGTCACTCCACTTCGGAGAGAGGGGGTTAGAAAAGGTCGACCCCAACAACTGTACATCTCGACTTACCCTACGGTGGTCCGTAACCGGCGGTAAGTTTACTAATACGGAACCAAACTAATAAACCAGTTCAAACAGGCCATGTGTGACCGACCTCAGGCACTTGTTTCCTGCACTCTGTGGTCACGCAACAATAACCCTCTTTCTGTTTCAGGTACCCGAGGAATCAACCAACTTCCACGGTGGGGGCAGCTGGGAAGTAACAACCGCCCACACACTTCCAAGAGCACACGAAGCCTCCCTGAGAATCATTCTCCTTTACCCACATCACTTCCATCATCTTGCTCCCCTACTACAGTTAGTACTATTCTTCAGACTAGAGAGACATCTTCACTTCACTCTGTGACCACAAATAACGATGAGAGTCATAGAAACACCTCCGACAACCTCTTAAAGCCCCGTTGCCAACTTCATATAGGAGCATCCAACATTAGGACCCTCTGTAAAATCGGACAACAGGCATCACTAGCAAGAACTCTGGTATATTGAGCCATGGATGTATGTTGTGTTTCGGAGACACACATACAAGACCTGAGTGTGGTCATTCACTTAGCCTCACCCGACCAACAAGGTGGATCTGCAAAATTCACTTCAACGGTGTCTGGAGACTCCTCTGCTAGTTCGCGACGACTCGCAGGTGTAGGGATAGCATTCAGTGTTAGGGCAGAAAAATCACTTCTTGACTGGATCCCAGCAGATAGTCGTGTGTGTGCGGTCCGTCTGAACAGGTCCGTTAGAAGGGGAAGGACGGCATTATCGGTCGTTGTCTTCTCGTAGTCTCCGCTTACGCCTCAACAGACTGCAGTTCGGACAAACCAAAGGATGATTTCTACCTGAAACTGTCTAATTTGCTGTAGAAAGCGAAACGTTCAGATATGGTTGTTTTAGCAGGCGACTTCAATCCCCGAGTAGGGAGGTTGTGCCAGACTGAGAAGTATATAGGTGGTACGTATGGAGTTCTCTGCCAACGAACCGACAACGGTGATGGTCTTCTACAGTTCTGCTCAGATAATCATCTGTTCCTAGTCAGCACTAACTTTAGGTACAAAGAGCGACACTGCGTAACCTGGCGATCTCCATCACCAAATCAACGCTGGACTCAGACAGCCCATATAGCGATAGGGTATCGTTGGTGAGGGTCAGTAGAAGACTGTCGCTCATGCGTAGACTCCGATCATGCTCTGGTCCACGCACGTTTATGCTTACGGCTAGACGGACATAAGAAACTGCTGGCGGAGAAACAACTACGTCCCCAACTAGATCAGGACACCGAGTCCTTATTTAAGGAGGAAATAGCGAAACGAATATCTGTGGTCGACAGCAGTACTTCTCCTAAGGTTACCTAGCACAACACACAGTTAGCTGTATACACAGCTGTAAAAGCTGTTAATAACCTAAATCCAAAAGTTAGTAAGATCTATTGTATCTCTATCACCTCATTCGAACTGATTGATGACGCAAGAAGACTGATTCCAGCGAGCTCCGATTATGATGAAGAGCGAACGCTACTCGAACGCAAACTGATAAGAAGACTTCGTAACGACCGTGAACAGTGGTGGACGACAAAAGCAAAGGAGATAAAAAAGGAATCGGAGATAGGTAACACCAGATAACTATTTAGACTTATCAGGAAGACAGGTGGCAAAAGGCAAACGATAAGTGAAACAATCTCTGAGAAAATTTGCACCACAATTAGCTCCTAGGATAGACGACTGGAACGCTGGAAAGAACACTTTGAGGAGCAGTTTAATTTCCCTACATTTTTTGCTTCACTTTCCCCAGTGGAACATAGGGCTTCAAGCTAGTGGCTTGAAGTTTCTGTAGCTATGTTTATTTTACAGGATGGGTTTGCTAGCCTCATGCCCAACCTTTCCTCTTTACCAGCATTATTTCTGGCTCAGCGAGGTAAATGAAACGTCATCAGTTAATATTACTGTACAACTGTACTGTACAACACTGTGTGACATCAAAATAATTTCCCTACAGACACACTCAACTTACCGAACATCCGACACCTCGCTGAATAGGATATGGACACAGGTCCTCCGTCCCTAACTGAGGTTACTAAGGCTGTCACTAGTCTGAAGCGATGTAAAGTAGAGGGACCTGGTGGAATGACTCCAGATGTATTTAAGTACGGTGGAGACAATTTAATGTCTACGTTAACTAAGGTACTAGACAGCGTCTGAGAATTAGAGGAAGTCCCGTTGGGTTGGTGTAAGTCGTTGATTATCCCCAAATACAAGAAGGGAGACAATGCTTGCTATGATAATCACAGGATGTTTGGCTTGACTAATATGGTATCTAAAGTTTTAGACTGAAAAGTCATGCGTAGACTAAACGGTCAATGGGAGGCACAAACACGAGAGAACCAGGCAGGCATTAGACAAGGAAGAGGGTGTATTGATCATATCTTCACCCTTCGACAGATTTTGGAACATAGACATACTCACCACCGGCGTCCAACAATCGTCATATTTCTTGACCTAAAGGCATCATTCGATTCTGTCGACCGAGAGTTACTATGGCGATGTTTGGCTTTGAAGGGAATGACGAGAACATACATTGCACTGATCAAGGCACTCACTCTACTCCAACTCATGCAGTCAGCCAGGTGAGAGCCTACGAAGAGTTGTCATCTGAATTTTTGACAACTAGTGGTGTCCGTCAGGGATGCCCACTATCCCCATGTCTGTTTAATTTCATCATAGTTGTACTAATGGATTTAAACCTAACACACTTCAGAGACTCAGGGATTGACTCGTTACCATCAGGGAATAATCTCGTTGACTTAGAATATGCAGATGATTTTGTCCTTCTAGGTGAAAAAGACGCTGACGAGATAGGGCAGTCTTCTGAACACCTTCAGCTGCAATCTAAGAATGTTTGGCAAGCGATTCGCTCCCTCCAAATGCAAGATGACCTTACAGGACTGGACTACACTAACTCCTAGTTTAGAAATAGGGAGTAAAGTGTAAGAGCACGTTGGCCGCTTCACTTATTTGGGAAGTTGCGTCAACCAGTGCCAACGGGTTGATCGCTGACGAAATCTCAGCACGGATACAAAGGGCTAGTTTCGTATATGACAGTTTACGCCGCCTCTGGCGTAGACGTGATATACGGCTGTCAACCGAAGGGCGTGTATACTACTCAATAGGTAGCTCCGTCCTCTTTAATGGTTGGCTGTGAGACATGGCCATTGAAAGTGGAAGATATTAAAAGGCCGGCTGGCTGTCTTTGATCATAGGTGTCTGCGTTCTATCTCCCGTGTGAAGTGGTATAATAAAGTGAGCAATATTGAGGTTAGGCGTCGAGTTCTAGGTAAGGAGGGGAAATCAATCGACGAGGCTGTGAAGTTACATTGACTGAGATAGTTAGGACATGTGTTACGTATGCCTAGTGATCGGCTTCCTCGACAACAGGCTATGTTAGCTGACATAGGGTCAGGCTGAAAAAGAGCTAGCGGTGGTCAAACCGAAACATGGAACCAGTCAATTAAATCCACAACAGTTAGTTTAAACCAGCCAAGTAGGAAGGTGTAGACTCCCTGGTTGGGGTCCTCGGAACGGTAAAAACCAATACCTGGAGACAATCGGTGATATGACTCAAAATCGTTCTCAATAGCTGGAACAGATGCATCCACTCCTTGTGACTTATAATCTCCAATGAAACTATATCGATCTTCGTTATTTCTATTCCTTTGTCTCATATCCCTGTCTACTATCTCTATTTTGCATTTCTTTCTTCTCTTGCTTTGTGTGCTACATAGAGTGTGGCGAGTTGAGCTGCTGCAGATCGGTGCAAAGTTCTATGTCAAAAACGGACAGACAGACATCTGTTCGTCGATGAAGAAGTTCATGATGACTTGAAAGCTATTCGCTAACCGCATAGAAAAAATGACCAGTCTACATCTAAGCGTAGAACAGAAACCCACCCGTATATTTACAAAGAACTGATTCATACTTGTTAAACATCGAAGCTAATGGCTTACGCCCTTAAAATTACAACGCTACTAGGACCAATTGCAATTACAAAATAAATTAAGGAAATTACTACCAGCCTGTATCAAAAAATCAATTCTGGGAACCACTATTGTAGCTAAGAGCGGCACTTATAGTGTGAAGGCTGGTAGTGCTCTCTGGCCTCCAAAGCTGAATTAGACAGAGTCAGATCTAAACCGCAGACTCACTGGTGGAAAGTCAATTAGCACTTATTCTACGTTTATACAATTGACTGATCGATGTGACCATATTTTGACGAGTTTTCTGGCCAGTTAACAGTTTTATTTCAATGTACATCAAGGTAAACTACTTTTATTAACACAGTACTATCAATTAACATGTTTACACGCTAAAAAATAACTTACTTTAATATCCAAATGAACAATTGATTGTGAATGTAAAAATGAAACAGCCTTTAGAAGTTGTCTAGATGCTTCAACAACGACCTTTTCTTCAAGGGATTCTTCGTTATAATGGACATAATGATAGAGATCGCCTTGAGAACAACTAAAAATTAATTACGACATTAAAGTCTCAGCACAGTTAAAAGACTATTCTCAAAGTAAGTATTCCCATAATTTTAATCTTAAATAAACATTGGTGTCAAAGAGACATGTTTATATCAGTGAAACTGTGTACCTGAGTCACAATTGTAGACCTAAGTATGCCACCTGGCTCAAATTAACACCACTTCTTTCGTTAGTAAAACTGCACGCATTACACGTAAGTGGTGTATGCTTTTCAGAAAAATATTGGTGAAATCGGCTTTGGATTTTTTACTTAACACTGTGGCCAATTGTTACATTTAACCTAAAATTAAACAACGAGCAGTATGATTACCTGACAGCATGATGCAGCTCCAGTATAAAAGAAAAATGAAATGATCAGCTAGTGAATAACAAAGTGAACATCGGGGTAAAATAACTTAACTTCTGTTCATCGATTTGTACTAATTCCTAAAGTTGACACAAGAAAACGCTGGCACAGTGGACAATGATCTTGACCTTGAGTCACATCTAGTAGACAGTTTCTTATACTTTACCCAGGTCATTTGCAAATAGATACTAACTCAGTACAACTTTCCTTCATCTCACTGCATCACCTTACACGATGAGTAAAGTAGAAAGTCTGTGTAGGAAGAGGACACTTTTGTGAAAGTCATGGTGACAGAAACAGACTTTAGCTTTACACACTGAATGGCAGATAAGCGAAATAAGTATAAATTGAATAATGATACTAGTAAGATTAGGTTTTTTTGATAAAATAACAAGCACGGTATAATGACAATAAATAAAAAGGTGGCACATATTTATACATATATCAAACACTTGTTCAAAAAAATACCTGCAGCAGTCTACTGAAAATGAAGATGATAGTTAGGGAATGTAGCTAGCTTCAGTAATCATCAGCAGCACGCCTATTGCCATAAAAATACGAAGTAGTTGGGGTATCCAATATCCTGATTACGAGCTAGTATAAACCAGTGATTTCTTTGAGCTCGCTTCTTGATTGTGAGGTAGAGGTTCCAGATCTTCGGTGAGCTTCTGCGTAGTAAGTCCCGCCACTCGACTGCTTTAGCTCTGGTAGACTCCAGGAGGAGTGGTGCGGGGATTGGTCGAGATGTGGTTTGTAGTATGCAGTATGTTAGGACTGTATTGCTGCCGTGAATGGAGTTTGACCTAACTCCCGTTGGTCATTCGGTGTAGTCATAAAAGCAGAATAGTAATAATAATAATAGGTTGTAGTGTAGATAATATAGGTTGAGATAAGTGGAATAATAAAGGTGACCTAAGGAAAAGATAGAGTGAGAGAAGGCAGAATAGGTCGTGGGGATTTAGTTTGTACGCTTATCCATTGACAGTGTGGTTTCAAGTTTTATGAGGATAAGCCATTGAGACACAAACCTTGCATTTCTGCATGATTGTCTAGCTTCCGCTTAAAAATCTCCACAGATGGCGCTGTAGTCACGGCCGCCGGTAAAGCGTTCCAGAGACGGCAAACACGAAGCGAAAAGAAATGTGATCGCACTCGAGTCTTTGGTCTCTGGTGTGCTATCCTTAGCGGGTTACCTCGTGGAAGCCTATAATCACTTAATGGCAGGATGCTTTTATTTGGGTGGGCCTGGTCATTTAGGATCTTGTAGACGGTGATGAGGTCTCCCCTGTGCCTACGGTAACTAAGTGTGAAAAGACCTAATTTCTTTAGTCTTTCCTCATATGATTTGTTGCGGAGGCCGATCACCCATTTTGTCGCTCGTCTCTGGACACTTTCTAGAATGTTAGCATCCCTTTTGAGTAGCGGAGGTGCAATGATATTATGCACCTCAAGGTGTGGCCTCACATATGCCTTATATAACCTTAAGAACAGTTCGGGAGTGAGAGCTCCCAGCTGCCTGTGCATAAAGTGTAATGTTGCGTAGGCTTTGGCGACGTCCCTCGAGTAATTTCCACTGGTGTCTAGCTTTTCTGTTAGAATAAGACCTAGATCACGCTCTGATGGAACACAACTCAAGTTCTGGCCACCAAGGGTGTAATTTACACTCTGTGACCTGCCGGAATGAAGTTGCACTACTTTGCACTTCTTTAGATTGAAAGGCATTCCGTTAGCCAGAGCCCAATTTCCCAGAGTTTGCAGGTCAGCCTGCAATCTATCTGAGTCTTCCGATGAGTTTATTGCTCTCCAAATCTTTACGTCGTCAGCGTAAAGAAGCGCAGAGCAGTTTAGTTGGGGGGGCAGGTCATTGATAAAAATCAAAAACATCAACGGCCCTAGGATAGAACCCTGAGGAACCCCTGATGCCGAGGTGTGCCAGGATGATCGGATGCGGTTGACTTTGGTGCAGAATTCTCTCTCGCCTAAGTAATCTTTCAGCCATGCGAGAAGTGCTCCACAGAAACTCGCCTTGCTTATTTTGTGAAGGAGCAGACCATGGTGAACTGTGTCGAATGCTTTCGCAAAGTCGAGAAAGATCACGTGGGCTGGTACCTTTTTGTCCCAGGATAGTGTCCAATCGTTCCAGGCTAGTAGAAGATTCGTCACGCAGGATCTTCCCCTCCTGAAACCGTGCTGTGCTTCGTGAAGAAGGTTAGTCCCATCGAAGTATTTTCTCATGTGGTCGTCAATGAGACTTTCCAATATCTTCGATATCACTGGAAGTAGAGCAACTGGTCTGTAACTGGTCACATTCTGCCGGTCACCACCCTTGAAGATAGGGGATAGGATTGCACGTTTCCATTCACATGGAAGTTTCCCTACATCAAGGGAGTGTTGGAACAGATCACTTAGGGGTTGACAGAGACTTTCTGAACACTGCTTCAGGACAGATGGTCTGATGTCATCACAACCTGAAGACTTTCCCGAAGCCAACCTTCCCAATTTTGCAAGTACCATAGCCGGGGTAATTTGAAATGTACCCAGCAGGTTTTCGCGTGTTGGTTTTGCGATGTAATCTGGATGTTCTGTGGGGTAATATCCTCGTTACTATTTAGTTGCCTGTGAAAGGCTAGGCTGAATGTCTCTGCCATTTCAAGACTAGTAAGAGATTTCCCATCAGAACCCACTAGATTGCATGCTCCCTGGTTGGTCGGTTTTCTTTCGGACATAAACCTGTATAGGCTTTTGGGGTTCACGAGAAGCTTATTGGCGAGGTCTCCCTGAAATGTCCTTCTATCGCTCCGGACTCGTATGTTACATCGATTCCTGAGTTCAAGGTACACTTCATATTCGGGTTGACTCTTCGATCGTCGCCACGCGAACCAGGCTTTTCGCTTTGCCTGCAGAAGGCGTTGTGTCCCCCTTTTTAGCCATGATCGTTGCTTCCTAGCTTTTGGTGTGACTAAAGGAACAGTGTCTGAGACCGCCTGGTGAATGATCTCCTTTACCACTCTCCAGTGTTCTTCTACTGTTAGCTCTGTCCATTTTTTAGGCCAATTTGCTTCAGACAGAAGTCTTCGCATTTTGGTGTAGTTGGCTTTGTTATAACACAGATAGGGCTGTGTATTGTCCCACTGTAAGCGCTCGCGGAGGACTATGTCGAATACTATGACCGCGTGGTCACTACTACCTATGGGAGTCGTGATCTGAACGTTTTCCACTAGTAGCTGGTCACTAGTGAGCACGTAATCCAGTCTAGAAGACTTCCCATCAGGGCCCCATCTAGTATCCATCTTGACATTTTCAGTGAATCCAGCCTTCCTGATGGTATGCAGCAGATTTCGATCAAATCTATCATGGGCTTTTCCCGACACCAAGTTAAGAGATGGGGCATTGAAGTCACCAGCTATGACAATTTGATCATAACCCATGTCTTGAGTTGCTGAGATTGTATTTAGCAGTACCTGGTTGTGGTCTGCTCCACATGAAGGTGATCGATAAATGCTGCCCACTAGATATTTGCAGTACCCAACGGTGAAGTGGCACCATATGGAGTCAGGGAGCTCTGTGAGGGGAGGGTCCATCGCGTGAACACATCTGAGCTGTTTGTCGACGTATATGGCGACTCCACCTCCTTCTTTCAGGTCCCTATCTCGCCTGACTAGGACCATATCATTTATACTGACTTCGCTGTCTGCCACCGTAGGGGTTAGCCAGGTTTCCGTCAGTATTATGATTTTGGAGTTCAGTTGTGATTGTAGGTGTCTAAGTTCAGCTATTTTGCCTCTTAGCCCTCTCACATTACTGTACAGGCAACTGGTAGTCAGTCTCACCACTTCCCCGTATTGGGGGGTAGTTGACTTGATATTGGCTATCGGTTGAGGAGTTATCCTACGAACTAGTTGGCCGATTCCCCAGGAACCGGCCTGTTGGCGTTTTTTTCTTCTAGTTCAGTTGGAGCACTCGGATGACACTGGCTATCATCGTCCGTGCTGCACCGCTGTAGTGTGACTAGGGGTTGAGGATTTTTTTTAACTACGCTTTGTTCTCTCCTTTGAGTGCGAGGCCGGCTCTCGCAGCAGCGAATGTGTTTGCTGACCTTGTCCTTGGTCTCGTACCATCTATGGAGAGCGGTAGTCAACTGGTCTTGGGAGCTGAACTTGACAGCTAACAGACGTGGCGAGTTAATTGACATAAGATGAGTGGGTCGAGGCAGTCTATAAATAGAGACAGCCCCTGAACTCCCCAGGGCCATCTGGGATGCTAACCATCTCCATTGTTGTACATCATGACAATGCTTTTCGCAGGCGTTCCCAGTTACCAGTTCGGGAATGCCATGCACAACCATGGAGGCAGAAGGAATGAGCTCTGGCGACTCCCTCGCCATTTGTCTTTCCTTCCACGGCCTGTCTGGCTTAACACGTATGTTACAGGCCCTCCCTATAGAAAGGACTTGAGAAGCCAGTAACACTTTTTCAACATCCTCGGTAGAGCCCAATGTTACCCTCAGTGGGGATGGTTTGCCTTCAGGTGCAGCAGTGCCCCTATACAATCTGCATAGATTTACTGGTTGGATGTCCAAACCCAGTGTGCTACACAAGATGGACCACTGTTCCTGATCAAATAGGGCCCTATCTTTCAGCAGACTACTGCTACAGTCTGGTACATTAAAGAGGATTACACAATTTGATCTGCTAACCGTGGGCTTGGGCTCGGTCCTCGCACGTTTGTGATCACCTTTAAGACCGTTTTGGTTTGTCTGGGTATTTTTGTGTGTCTCAGTGCTATGGCCAGCATTACTGGCAGACGGTTGGGGTCTTTTTCCAACGACGGAAACCCGTGGTTCTCCAGCCTCTGTGTCTGGAGCGGTTATGGCAAGAGTTACAAGTTTAACCGGTGAGGATTTTGGTATCCCCGGTTTACGCGCGTTTGTACTAACTTCCGGATTGGTGGGGGTCGAACTTTCACCTTTTTCCCCGCTACTTCTGTGCCATCTTTAGTTTTCAAAGGACTACGCGAGGCTACATCAGGACGGCAACTCGGGCATATGTACCAGAACCATTGGCATGGGTTTTTACGCATAAAGTCATAATATGCTTTTGGTACCCCATTGTCGCATCTGCAATGCACCCATCGCTTGCAAAAGTTACATTCGAAAGCAGAGTCTGCTTGTTCGACAACAGAAGCGCAGACCTTGCAGTCGTCTGCCTTCTTGGGGAGCGTTCTTGTCGTCTTGCGACGTCGTGAACGTTTCTTTTTGGCCTTCCTATTTGTTTCATGGTCTACCATGGGGATGGGTGTTATGAAGTTCTCACTTAGTGCAATTTTCCCACTCGGATCTGTTAACCTAGTCGTGTTAACAGGGGTGGAGCCACATCCACTTGGCTGACTTTGCACAGCTTCACTGTAGGACTGTGGCGACATGGGTAATCTGTACGAGCTGGGAATATTAGCCCTGGTCTTCAAGACCGGTATGCGTGAGTCCATCACCTTCACCTGTTTGCCTAGTTTGGCTGAAGCCCTGGTAACTACAGAGTATGATGTCCCATTACTTATTTTAGGTTGAGAATCTATTGTCATTTTACTCCTAAATTAATACTGGTGATTAAATAATAAGAGACTGTTATTTTGTCCAATAGACTTACAGCAAAAGACAATAGAGAGCACAGAAAAGAAGGATAAAGTATTTAAGTAAAAGCTTTTGACTTTACCTGTAACTTTCGGGTTATTCGGTTTCACAGCAATCACGTAACAGACCCACAAGTCCTGTATATTTGAAAGAGTGAGGAGGATGTTGCTACAGAAGTAGCACCTGAAGCTTTGGCAGTAGTTCGAGACAGCGGGAAGTACCACACACAGGCTCGGTGAGGAAGAAATGGTTGAATAAAATTCGCCGGGTAGGAAGATCAGGTTTCCCAAACGAATAATTCACAAAATTGGATATTTCCGGTTAGAGGAAAAAGCACGTCTTATTCAAGGAGCGCGCTCGACAGTAGCAGTACCAATAATTACAAGAATACGACAAAAGCATATCGCATTCAAAAAAGTGGCCTAGTCTGTTTACTAGTCAGTCGGTCTCTTCCTCTCAGCGTTCGAGAAGGATTTTGACTGTAGAGATCAATAGCGTCCCCAAAACATCCATGTGTTCACAAGATCACTGAAAAGAAAAGACAGCCTGACTTAGCTACTTATAAAGCCCCTTCTTAAATCGGGAGACCGTAGCATAATTAAAATTAGAGGTAAACTATTCATCTATTGGATGTAGACATTAATTTTATATTTAAAGCATAGATGTCTAGAGTTACACATATTAAAGCGTCCGATTCTCGGAAATACTAGGGATTTTACTTGTGTAAGATAACACCGAACATATTCCTATTTACTTACTTTTCAAGGAGCAAAACAACTTCCTTGTCACCAACGTAATAGTGCTTCATTTTTACAATGTTAGGGTTGTGGTGGCTAGTCTTCACAACCTCGATTTCCTGCATAATACCTTGCAAAGTATCTTTTCCACACCTCCACCGTCTAATCACTTTGGCTGCAGATAATTCTCCACTTAAACGATGTCTGACTAGCGATACTTTGGCAAATCTTCCTCTGTCATAAAATTAAGTATTATTGAACTGTTAACGGTTGGAGTTTACCTTCCTATTTCGTTTTCCACGATAAAATCGCTCTTGAACTGTTCAAATTTGTGACTACTTCCAGGTGAGCCACCATTTGTGTAACTTGTTTGAAAAGTGCAACAAGACATTCTGACGAATTAAACGACCGCGAGGCGAAGTTCAAATTCCCACTGTCGTGCAGTAAACTTGAAAAGAAATGTATTCAAACGAGCAGTGGTTATGGTTCGATGTAATTATATGTCTAATAGTATGTCGTTCTCATCAGAAGATGTCGAAAAAATTGTTCTTCGGTCTTCTGTTTGGTTAAAAGAACTGATTCACTGTCATCTTATATAAATTATTGCTATACGAAATTCAGTATCCAATATCCAATATCGTTTTTACGAGCTAGTATAAACCAAATTGATAGGTTCCTGATCTTCAGTAAACTTCTGCGTAGCTTGTCCCGCCACTCCACTGTCGTAGCTTTGGTTGACTCCAAAGGTAGTAGTACTGGAATTACTTATATGTGGTTTGTAGTATGAGGTGTGTTGAGATTGTTACTACTGTGATTGGAGTTGATCCTTTCGCCAGTTATTCCTTCGGTATCGTCGACAAGAGAAAACAAATAGTAATAATAATAATGCTGATAAAAGATATAATTAGTGAAGTTTTCCAGACTAAGAGGCAGAAACGGAAATAGGAAAGCGTAACAGTATCCAGCATACTTGACTAAATTAATCTCCCTTCCTAGCATTATCCGAGAGACTCATTGTATTTAAGAGTATTCATTTTTGCTAGATGCCTGCCGTGGCTTTTATCTCATGTAAATTTATATGTTTATATGAAAATATACATTATTATTATTAAATGCAAAGGCTGATTTGAAGCCTGTGTTATGTCCAAGAAACCACTGTGACCAAACGTAGCTCTTTCGTGTCTGGCTGTTCGGTATAGTCAGAATAAATTAGGCATAGGCGATAATAAATATATAAATAACCATTTTTTTCGAGGAAATAAAATGTCTGCGAGATAAAAAAAGTGTGACAGACTATCAGAATGAGCCGCAGAGTGAGATATTGTGGGGAATTTAAGCGACGGAGAAGTCCAGTTTAGTCCAGGTCAACACATCCGACCAATAAAATTTAGTGTTATGAATGTTATCTTAGTCAAATTCCTGCATTCCTCGATAAGAATTTATCCCTTCACTTTCCAAGTTTAGTGAAGTCGAAAGATGCGAATCCAGACTTCAGTCAAGATGACTTGACCAGCTACAGTGAGACTGGCATGAACAGATAAAGAAGGACAAAATTAATTGTGGGAGATTTTAAAAAAGTTAAAGAATCAACGAGATAATAACGACCGCGCTTTTCGATTAGTGCGCTAAAATTGCTTAGTTACACAAAATTCTAATTTCTCTGATGTTTCTCGCCACGAAGATTGGGAAATTGTTGCAATCCGTTTACTTTCGAACACTAAACCTGTGGATATAATCTTGTTGACCACTAATACCTATAACTAACTGTTTGGAATTTTGTGACTCATATCTGCAATTGTATATATTGTTGGATGTCAATGGAGTTGAAGATTGAACGATCAATTCCTGGTTGTTTGCTCAAAATCAACTTCCCCAATTTTCGCGGAGGCATCAATACGACAGTCATCGTCTCATCGGTCGCTGTTCAGAAAGAAGAGTGAAACATCGTCAGAAGTAATACAATGATTTATTATTATAATATTTGTTTTCAGACCTTAGTTCACTTATTCTTTTTATATGTTGGTGTAACAATAAAGAAATATCAAGCGGCAGATCGGTGTTTTGGTTTTTCGTCCGTTATAACTAAGCGTTTCTGAAATCTTCGAGGAACAGCGTGGGCCCGAGCGTAGCGAGAGCTGGGCATTAACGGTTTATGAGACGCGACTGACAGTTTCAGACGATGGAAACAGATCTAGCGGATTCAAACAGTTAGTGAAAGTTTGGATAGTCACCGTTCATTTCTCCTGGTGCCGGTCAAGTCCTCTTTGAACAAGCAATATCTGGAACTGTTTTGGAATTGGGTCAAGTTCAACAATCCCTGGGTCAAAGAAGGGACAGAGTGTCTTGGATGCAAACAGGAAAGTAAGTCATGGTGACTTGTCTGTTAATTGTAACGATGTGTCTGATGTTAAGCATGACATGGTTGATGTTACTATTTCGCCGTTCAGGGATAATAGGAACATCAAACTCCCCAAATTTGAACCACGATGTTTTGATGGAAACCCAGCTGATTATTTACAATTTGTAAAGGAGTTTGAGATCATGTTGAGTGGTACTTTATTAAATGATGAAATGAAGTTAATGTATTTGATGAGGTATTGCACTGGAGATGCTGCAAGAGCTATACAGTGCTGTAAGTTTATGAAGCCAAAAGAGGGCTACTACGAGGCTATGAGCATATTACGTCAAAGGTTTGGAAGACCTTCGATGATTGCAGGGAAATTATTCGAGTCTGTTGAGGGTAATGGTGGTCAATTACAGGATGACTCCCAGGCACTCACTGAGTTTTTAGATAATTTGCTGATTTACAAGAATGGAATGATTTCGATGAATCGCATGAGTGACCTCAACTCGAGTTTTATACTAGAAACAATAGCAAGACGCCTACCTACTCGACTGCAAAGGAAGTGGGTGAAGATAAGCTCCCGTATGGAGGATGAGGGTATCGAGCCAAAGTTTGATGATATCCTGAAACTAGTAAAAGATAGTGTCAATCAATCTATGAGCAAGTTCGCCAGTATATTACATCTCACCCCTAGAATAGAGCAGTTTGAGAGCAAAATGCAGTCATTGATGACGAGTAGGCCTCAGAGAGGTGGATATCGAGAAGGCTCCACGATGTATAGTAATGCATATGGACCTAGTGAGTGTAACAGGTTTCGTAGTACATCCTCAACAGATAAGTTGCAAGCTGCAAGACAAACACGGTTGTGTTTTACACGTTTGCAAGAGGTGCATACAGAAGTGAACTGTGAACCAGTGAGCAAGTTCAGTGATAAGCTAAATGTAAACTCCAGGTCTGACTCCGAATTGTGTGACGATAACTGTGCGGTGAAGAAGTCTGTAGGTACAACTGGTAAGCCATTGTTGAATAGAGTGTCACAGAATAGAGTTACTGCTTCAGAGTGCAGTTCTGACTCCAAAAGTTTACAAAGTATAACTAGTCAGAGTGAAGATATAAAACCTTTAAGGATTTGTGAGAAGGAACCAAAATTGTCTACTGCTGTTAACAAAGAGTTTGAAAATGATGAACTTGATGGTAAAGTGAATATTTGTGATAATGATCATGATACTTCACATTTGTCTTTGGTTGATCATGATGAAATGAGGCGAATGGCTACTACTGCTAAGTTAAATAAAGGTTCTGTACAACTACAACGTGAAGTAGAATTGAACGCAGATGCAGTTCCAGAAGGTGTGCATACTTGTCAAACCGTCAGTGTAATTGATCAGCATGTAGCCGACCTATCATCAGATGCTAGTGCTAAACCTGAGCTGATAGTAAAAGACAGCAGTGGTGGTGGTCTTGCAGGTAGACAAATTTCTGAAAGTCGAGCAACAACAGCTTTTGATCCACTGCTAAGTTCATCAACTGATGCCAATCAGTCGTCGTTGGTGCTGTCATCCACAATGAAAAAGACACCCATGAACGCAAGTATCTTGTGCAATGACTATGCTAGTATCAGTTCGTTTGAAAGGACGAATATCAATGGTCAGTTTAGTGAGGATAAGCCAAGTGTAAACGAGAGAGTAATTGTTAAATTGACTTGCACGAACAAAGGCATTTCTAGTTTCAAGTTACTATTTGAATGTTATTATCTTTGGTGTGAATTACTCTGTTTCTACACTAGATTGATGAGATATGTCGTGTGTTTGTCGGTCATCTATATTCTACGATACAATGACATGGGCGTGTTGCCGTTCAGATTTGAGGATATAGCTGATAGAACGAAGTCAGCAAATGAACTCTGCGACGATTTTCCAACCTAGAGCGTCAACCTGAGAAGGGTTGTAGGCGTACTGCTGTAAGTCCTACAATTCTTCAAAGGGTAGCGCATCAATGAGCAGTCCAATGTGCTTGGTGTGTGATTTTGTACATATGTTCGTATTGTATATACTGAATTGATATCATCTGTCGTATGGCTGTTGGTAATTCTGTTTGAGTCCGGGCGACTTCCACTTGGATCATCAACCTGAGAAGGAATGTAGGCGTACTGCTGTAAGTCCTACAGTTCTTCAAGGGTAGTTTGTCATGCCGGAATCCACAACATTTGATGTAGTGATTGTACATATGTTTGTGTCAAATAGTTGTGTGAGTTCCAATTATCGCAATTGTTGGTTAATCTTGGTTGTGTCCGGACATTCCACAACTTACAATCGTCAACCTGAGAAGGGTTGTAGGCGTACTGGTGTAAGTCCTGCAATTCTTCTAAGGAATTGCACCAAAACATGATCCGCGAGGTTATTTGTACTGTTTGTGTATACGAGTGGTGTGTCATATCGATTGGTGTTTTTGGATTAATTGTGTTTACTCGTTGTTTTCGTACCTTGTTGTTATTGCATAATTTTGATAAAATTTTCGTCGTGCTTACTTCTGAAGTTGTTTATAGTCTTCTACATCCATGAATGAATTGATTGATGTTAAGGACAGCAGATGGGTCGTATACGCCGGGGAGGCTAGGCTATTGCTGAGAATGAAATGCACACGGAGATAATTGTTAGCTGTGGTCCGACACGCCGGGGAGAAAGAGTGTAAACGACTGAGTCTCGCATGCGTCACCGCTACTAGAACTGAGGCAGAATGAGTGACAAGCGATTGCAGTGGTAATTGGTAGTGATTAGATAAGAGGATGTGCGTAGAGTATCATGAGTTGGTGCTATGGTCACGTTGAGTTCTGAAAGAGTCATTCTAGCAAGTGGCGATTGTGTTGCAAGATGTCAAGAGGAGGTCTCTGTCTGGAGGCGCAGGTCGTCAGCGATGTGTGAGATTGTGCTGTGGGTATGCTTGTGGTGTGTTGGCTTTTCTGTTTGTTTTCCATTTCAGCTCTGTCCGTGTGACCCAGGTTCTCGCAATGGCATCCAAGTCAACGTGAATTGGTCGTGAAGGAAAAA